TGTAAAATATGTTGAAAACTGTGTTTCAGCAGCTCAATGTCGATAATATAATTATCACTTGTATCCTGTTAGATCATTCCTGCCCTGACAGGAGAGTCCTCTTCTTCACCATCTGCAGGCACGAGTGGTCTGTGATAGTATAGTAATTATGGTAAAGGAGTTCAAGTACATCATTCAAATTAAAAGCTTACATGTTGTTTTTGGATCATATGGGACAACCAGCAGTTATCTCCTGACACTTGAAACATAAAGCAGCACCTCACCTTCCTGTCACCTCTGGGGAGATGTACAGCATGAGGTCGTTATCTTGTCTTGAGGTGTGTAGGAGTTTTATAATTACCGAAATTCACCAGCATTCCCCACAGAATAAACCACTAACCAAATCTGTGTCAGTCACAAAATAAAACACTAACTGGGAGATTCTGGAGCAGCAGCTATGATGTTTTCCTCCATGAACAAAGCATCAGAAAATGAGAAGCTTGACCCAAAAAATTATGTCTTATAATCCTCAGTTTGAGTGATATTTTGAGGAGAATTTCCCTGATCCACACACACAAACTCCCGTGGGAACTTTATTTCAGAAGTTTAAGAATAATGCATGTCAGGCATCTTTTACTGTTCACCACGAGCTCCTTAATCCTCAGTGAGTCTTTATCTGAATGTCAAAATAACAAACAAACAACAAAACAGAAAAATCAATGTTAGTTTATCCAGCTCACTGTGTAAAAACAAACATTTTCAATGCCGCCTCGTCTCTTCTTTCTGCCTCTGTTTATGAAGCAGCATGCAGGTGTGATTTGTGCGGTGACCGCTTGTGAATATCAGAACATCTGATTGTTTTCTAAGGTAGGAGAAGATCTTTACTCTATTCACATGCAGGGCCAGGTGAGTGGCAGTGCTTTCCAATCCTCCTGAGGCTTCTCTCGCAGACACTCTGTTAATGCAGAAGCAGCCATGCTGGAGAGGGGGGGGGCGGCTAACCCAGGCAGAACTACATGGAATATTAATGCCCCGTGTCGCACCGCCTGTCCTTTCTTTGCACAAAAGCTGCTTTAAAAAGCCATTTTAACAGCATTCTTAAAGTTATTACAGGTCTGCTCTGGATCTTTGATCTCAATTTTGTAGTCTTTTCTGTGCTTTTCAGAAAATGGATAAAGGTGTCGGAGCGGCCCGGATGAAGATCTAGATGTGGGGTGACAGGTGACGGACAGTAATGCGGGAATCCTGGTCAGATCAGTGCAGATAGATCGTCTGCCCACAATTACCAACCCGTCTGTGTGACAGCGCTGTCCCGGCCAGTGACCTCCAATCTGAGAGGCTCAGGGGCCCCGGTGCCTCCTTTTTTCCCCTCCCCACACAAGTCCCCTCAGATTACCTCACACTTTCATTCCTGCCAAAGCAGAACGAGTCTGCTCTCTGAATCAGCAGCCAGGCAGAAAATGTGAAGAGAGGTGAGCAGGCTGCATAATTGACTTGAAGCGGAGGATTCAGGTGGAGGAGGTGTATCTGATTGGTGGCGTCCTGCTCTGTTCAGATCTGTCTCCCTTCATTCCACACCGAATAAACAATGACAAACATGAATAACGCAGGTGCCAGTTAGTTTGATGATGTTATATTTTAATGACTTCCACTCTCACCCAGTTATTTTTGGTAGTCAATCTCAGGACTAGATGGTAAATCCAGGGATGGAAGCAAAGTTTCCTCCTTTTTTTGTTTTTTTTTTAGTCTTAATTTTAAAAATGAATCCCTGGAGGAGCTAACCCATATTCACAAATATCTGCAATAGAGGAAACAATATACCTTCTACAGTAGTGTAAATGGTTTTTCCAGGGAAAGATAATTCACCATCGCAGAGTTGGCAACCTGCTGATGCTAAAGGACTCATTCACCCATGTTACAAAAAGTCATATTTTCTCACCCACAGAAACGATCGTGATGTGATTACTCAGCAGACAGCAGGTTATTGAGCCATTAAACTTATATACAGTGCTTGTACAGGCTGAGTTTTGTCCTCAGCAAAAACAGCAACAGACTGAACTTACTGCTGAACTACAGCCAGTCAGGACCCATCAACAGTGATGTGATCATTTAGAATAGAAAGAAATTTAATCTTTGAACTGAAGTCAACTAAATTATTTAAATTAGCAAAGGGATTTGTAATTTCTTGCACTATTCTGCATATTGAATATTTCACTGAATAAGTGAAAACTTTTACCTGCTACTGGCGCTAGAAGAAAAGATTAAAGGATCTTTAAAGGACCAAAGAATTTGTCCTCTCGGGACCATGAATTATGGTTCATATTTACTCACTTGGCACTTTTATCCTAAGCAACATTTGAGAACAACATACAAGCATGAAGAAAGCAAGAGATCTACACTGAGTGACAATAGATACTAGTAAGAGCAGGTAATGCCACAGCAATTCATCTAATAGTTGTTGAGATATTTCAGACTGGACTGAAGTGGTGGACCAACCAACCGACACTGCCATCCCTAGAGTTTGTATTGGGTATGGTCATTGGGGTGTATTCGTATCTAGTCGTTTGTCCAAAGCTGCGGTTTAAAGACAGCTTAAAACGTCTTATAGGAATTTTTGAGGTTAAACGGCCTAAAGCTAGCGAGCTTCTGACTGAGCAATGTGGCGAAGCATCATTGATGAAGACTCCTCAACAGCAGAGAAACGAGCAATGAGCCAGTAAAGAACACTGCTGACGATCTATGAGTTCTGGTCTCACGCGGCTATCACTGCATCAAGCCAATGCAGGCCCCATTAGTCACCTACAACATCAGTAAAATGCCTTTTTGATCGGGGTCTTCATTGTTCACAATGGATGAGCAACACTCAAGACGGAGGCAAATTATCACCTAGACTGTATGTTACATCCATCTTAGTTTAGAGTCCCGCTTCTTGGTTCAGCTTAGACTCAACAATATCAGTTTTACCTCCAAATAAAGTGGTTTGATGATTACTGATCATCTGAATAAACTGTTCAAACCTGCCTGATGTCTGACTGCTTGCGTTTCTTGCCACGTCGGACTTAGTTTTATCAATGTCGCAGTGTTCCCTGAGCTCAGTTATTTCTTAGGAGACTACAATGTCAGCATGACCAATAAAACTAGAAAAATAAAGCCCTAAATTTTAATAACCACCGTTATGTCTTGTCATTTTTGACCCCAAAAATCTTGAATGATAGTTCCTCAGGTAATTCAGAACAGTAAAAAGAAAAAAAAGTGAAAGTTTTGCATTCAAAAATTAAGCATCAAGTGGTTTGCTTGAATGCAGCAAGATGACCACATTTGAATTGTGACTTCAATATTAATTTGCGGCGGGTCCTTGCTGGTTAAGAGATGATTATAAAGGTATATTAATCTATCATTTAGATTCTGCAATGCCTGTGTGAAAACCTATTTCTGCCCCCTTTCTGCTTATCATCAATGCCTCCTCTGGCAGCGGCAAAGGCCCCTGAATGGACTCCAGGCTCCGGAGCAATGCATCTTCATCTCACTGCTTCACACTCCAGAAAATAGGCTAATCGCCATCCCCCTGCTCAACCCCACTAATCTCTGAAAACTCACATTTACTTCAGAGTTCTGGCACCTGTCTTATCTGAAGGGAGAGGGGGATCCTCTCAGTGTACAAGTCAGTTTAACCTTTGGCCTTGAATTCAGAGTAGAACCATAGCTCATAGTAAAATTTAACATTTTACCATTAACAGCGAGTTAAAATCATAATGCAAGAAAAATGCTGGAAAATTAGGCAGTGATAAATGTTTTCTCTGAGGGCTACTTCTTCTTGTTTATAATTTAAAAGGTCAGACTCTGAATTCAAAGTTCATTCATGCCTACAGACACTGTATGTGGATGCCATACGTGTCATATGTCAAATCTACATTAATGAGCCGCACCATAGCAATCCCCGTACTGAGCCAATAACAAGATCGCCTAATGATTTTTACAGTTACAAACACCTGACCCCTCTAATGGCTGAAATCTTCAGTTCTCTCCTCATTGTTGCTGTGAACAGATGAGACTCCTGCAGCCACTGCTCCTTCAAGTGGCAAAAGATAATAAGTCACTCTTCATGAGCATTATCATCATCCTTTAGGCCCGAGGAAATTGGAAGTTGGAGTTGATGTAAGCTCTGATGGCTCACTGAAGCCCCCATGTGGACTGAAGAGGACATTTTCCACATATGGTGTCACTGTAGACTTCAGTCTGTAGCTCAGAAATAAATATGTCCCATCACATCAATTCACACACCTTTTTAAACAGATTTTGGTGCTGGGAAAGCCCAGTAAAAATACATTTCACTGCAACACCAGCAGTTTAGGTTTTAGGAGTTTTTGTTCAAAAATATGCCAAAGAAATTAGAGGAGGATGTGGTACCTGAACACATCTTGCTGTGACTTGAGAATGTGTGAAAACTAGTAAGCAAAAGGTAAAAACAACTCCGTAAAAGATAAACAGCTGAAAAGTCTAGCCTTTGTCAAGTGGTGGTAGTACCGATGGAAACTCAAGAACCTACTGAAACAGCCATGCCGGTGACCATAGTAGGTTAACCTGTTGGCGTAATAATATTTAAAAATTACCACAAATAAGTACAGCTGAGGCTGATGGGAATGTTAGTATAGTTTGATACCCTGAATCAGTTTTATCTGATAATTTGTTTAGCCTGCATTTAAAAGTCTAACCAGGGACGGCAGCTACAAACTAGCCTCATCTAGACGCCCTCTATACATCTGTTGCATTGCTCCCCTTTATGTAACAATGTAAATCTACACATATGGTTCCTGTCAAATAACCTAACAAATAAAATCTACAGTTTTTCACCTGTTGTTATGGCACCATATGGAAAGAAATTTCAAGGAAATCCATCCATTAGTTGTAAAGTTATTTTCATCTGGAGCCAAGTGGCGGGCCAACTAACTCATACTGCCACCCACATGTCTACGGAGAATGAGATAGGCCTATTGCAAAAAAAATTAAAAGTAGTTTCATAGTCGTTTTCATGTTTATACTGTGTGGTATTGCTTTATTCTGTTGTAATGAAATCCAAAACTAAGATTACAGCTTAGTGTGTGCACAGCAATGCCCAGAATATACAAGCATTTTCTTCAATTTAACCAAATAAAAATCTCAAATTCATTTAAATAAAAGTCCTTTTCTCTGATCTCATAATTAATCGAACACTGTTCACTCAGGCTTCAGCTGGTTTTCAGTCTTTTTGTTTCTACGTTGTGTGTCGCTGCCTCCTCCTGGTCTCTTTTGGCACCTCGAGCCACGTCGGGCGTCTCACTGTTTACCTCAGAGCTGCTTCCTCTTGGATGTCTCAGCTCCCTCCTGTCTCTTCTCTCCTCCATCTCACCGATCTCCTCGGCGAAAAGGGTTTTAAGTGCAGGAATGAGCCTGGGTAGGATTTTAAAGTCCCCAAAGCGAATCTGAGTAAAGAAGAAATAGGGAAAACGGTCAAGTGACTGTACCAGATCTGAACTATAACTCCTGAAGGAGTGAGGCTATGGACAGAGATGACAGAGTCTTCTCTCACAACCTACTTCATTTCAGCGTCGCATCTAAAAGGAAAGAACCGTTACATACATGCTTAAGGAACGGGAATCAGAAGTGAACTAAAACCATATAAAGCTCAGGAGTGCAGCTGTTTAGTCAAGCATCCTGCAGTCTGAAGCTCCACTTCCAGGTCTCATTAATACAACAGCACAGAAACCAGTCTTCCAATCACTCAATCTCTTCGACTGCCATTCATTCAATACAACGTTCAGTGTTTTCTCAATTTAAGTGCATTTTTACCCTGGATCTGTTTACTTGTCAGTGACGTCTAAATTCTTGTCTGAACTCGACACTCAAAACTTTTCTGTTTGCCTTTTATTAAATTACATTTAAAATTTTAAGGTGTATTAAAATGAAGGGCAACTGGAATTGGATGAAGATAGGGTTAACTTAGAGTCTTATCGAGTTTACCCCTCCCAATTTCAGTTTATGAGGAGGTGGAGTTGCCATTTTGTTTAATGACTCCCTCCAATGCAAAAAGATGTCTTATGGGAATTTTGCTTCTTTTGAATATGTGGCTCTTCAGCTGAATTCCTCTTCGAGCTATTTTTCTAAATATCTACAGGCCCCCTAAATACTGTGCAAACTTTGGTGAAATGCTGTCTATAATCTGTGTTGACTTTGACTGTGTGGTTATTGTTGATGATTTTAACATCCATGTTGACAACCCCCAGGACAGAGGGACTAAAGAACTGTGTTTTGTCCTTGATAATTATGGATTGACTCAACATGTGACGGAGCCCAGACACATTAAGGGGCACTTATTCATCTCCAAGGGTCTGGACATTTCCAAGGTTGTTGTGACTGATGTTGCTCTCTCGGATCATTCCTGTGTTTTCTTTGAGAGCGCTATCTGCGTGCACACAAATGTTCAAACAGAGGTGATCACAATACGGCATATCACTGAAAACACTAGTGAAAATTTATTTAGAGTCAAAATTAAACAAGGAGAAGCAGCGTTCAGTTATTATGCTCCGTATATCTGGAACAAACTCCCAGATAACTGCAGGTCTGCTGAAACTGTCTGTTCTTTTAAATTAAGACTGAAGACTTTTCTTTTTACCACTGCTTTTAATTAAATATTTACACAGTGAGAAATGAATAGGTAACTGAGTGAAAAGATAATGAGAGTGAGACTGAACAGAGTGAAGGAAGTGGTCTTAAATCTCGCGCCTGAGTGATTTGCAGGAACCTCTGTCCACCTGTAAACACGCAGGTGGGTCCAGAGTATAACTTGATCAAAGTGGCCTGCGGACAGACATGTCCTGGTTTCTCTGTAGTGTCTTTTAACCCTGATTGTACACTGCACTGTAACTTTACTGTCCTGTTTTACCCTGTTTATTATTATTTTTTAAATCCTGTTTTTACTTTCCATTTCAAAATAATTATATATTTAATGTGTATTTTTTTTCTCTCTCTCTCTCTCTCTCTCTCAAGTAAAAAAAAAAAAACAACCTAAAATCAAAGTTCATAATAGACCTTGGAACTAGTAGTTTAATTCAAGGTTCAGGTTCCTTTGATTTGTAATGAATCCTGATTTACATAAGTTGGTAATTTACGGCGCCTCACATGAGTTGATTGCATTAATGATTCACTCTTTGGGCCAGACACAGTACATTTATGGAGGTCAAACTGTGAAGGCAGAGTAAATGGAAAAGTGCACCCAGAGTTTCTTCCTATATTGAATTCATTCATGCGGCCACCTCAAAAGGATTTACCACCACCTTTATTTATTTATTCCTTTCAAATATCAAAATATAGCTGAACTTGTGGAATGATTAGCAGAGGATGTGACTGAGGAAGAAGCTGCAGAGACCAATCCTGAACTGCTGTGCTGCCAGCTCGGCCGGTTGCTCCATCACAAACAGCTGACTGGTGCCAATACAATATGCGAATATGTATTCCCCCCAATATCTAAGTTTGAGTAAAACTTGTATTTGGATATTCTAATTAATTACAGTATAAAAAATTGGCAAGTAGCCCAATTTAGATGAGGTTTAGATTTTTATTAAAAGTAAACCAAGAATAGACAATTCTCGTGTTAATTTGTGAATGCAGTGCAGCAGCAGGTAGCGGTCAGGCGTCATTTACAGCCAATCAGCAGCGATTAAGATATTACAGTGAGACTTACTCTCATGTGGTCGAATGATATCCCCACTCTGTCACTGAAGTCTTCACTGAAAAGAGGGATCTTGGCATAACGCTGGCTGAAGTGGTTCAGCATGATGAACTCAGCGTTCATCCTCATGCCGATACCGATGGCCTGGGAGGTTGTGCTGTCAGAAAACATCAAGCATAAAGTCAGAGATTTACGTTACACTGCTTTCTCACAAGAAACTTTCAAATGGGAATATTGTTGTCTTCTGTGGACGTAAAAGATGTTTTTGTGAAGACATAACATAAAGAAGGTGCAAAAATCAATGTCAATATCTGTGTCAAGAAATTTAACAGTGCACTCAAAGTTAACTGCAGCCAATAAAGTGTGTGTATTTTGTTGGCTGATAGAATTTTAACTGCTACTCCCCCCCCCCACTTATTTGCATAAACATTAAAGCCCTACAAAGCTGTTTTGCTAAGCCAGTTTATTTTACTCACCTGTGCCTTTTCTCTACAGCTTCCTCCTCCAGCCCATCTTCCAGCGTGGCCTCGTGGATTAGTAAGGTTGCACTCTTTCCTGCAAAAAAACAAAAACAGAAAAAGAACAGAAATTTCAGCCGAATCAGAGGCCAGAAACCAGGAAAGCAATTATAGCCTCTTCCTGTCCCACAGGAAATCAATCAGGTAGTCGGCGTAATCAAGAAACGGCACGCCCTGTTTGTCTGGTGAGCTGGGCCATCTATAATGAACAGTCATGGGATATACTCGCTGTCTCTGGGAGGCTTTGCTTGGACAGAATCCAGTCAAGCAATTTAAGAAGAGTCAATGAAGTGGGATCCCACAGGAACCATTAGTAGAGCCTGCCAGCTACGAGAGTGATCGAAAGCATTAAGAAATATCGGATAAATTATTCAGAACCCGTGTAGTCAAGCTACACTTAGACAACCTTATATGAATCTCTGCAATATTGAAAGCGTACGCTCAATTTGCTATTACATACTGTGTGTCTGTGTAGATACACTCCAGTGAGATGTGGACTTTAATCATTCTGAGTGGTACTAACCGATGTGAACGAACGCATCGCAGGGCATGGTGTCACCAGAAAAGGCCAGTTTCCAGCCTGACTGGTGAGTGAAGCTGCAGGCGAAGGCGTTCTTACAGTGACGCACTATGCACGTCTGGAACTGAGAGACACACACACACACGCATAACTTTAAGAAACTGTGAAGCCTTGAACACTGAAGGATGTGATGTTGAAACAGCTGCAGACCTTTTCCAGATCATTTTTTTTCAGCAGCGCTTGGATGAATGACTTTGTCCTCTGTTTGGGCACCTCGGCACCATCACACAGAAAACTGTTAGGGATGAAGCTGAAACAAAAAAACAGATGACATTAAAGACGATGACATCAAGCCCTCAAAACTTACATTTCATTCCTCCACTCCACTACATTTCAGAAGGAAATACTGTGCTTTTTATTCCACTACATTTATCTGACAGCTATAGTTGCTTGTTAATAGAAACTGACTGATTAATCGGCACACTGATATTATTGGCCGCTATGAGCTAATTGCAGATAAATTGACATTAGCATTGATAACAGCTGATACAGTAAATGACAACTAAAAATGGAGAGACAGAAGATGGATCCTTTAATCCTGTTACGAGTGTTGTGGTTACATAGTTTTTCCCACCAGAAGGCACTTTGCAACTCCCCTGTTGCCACAAACACAGCAATCAGCTGACATAACCAGCTGTATTTTCTTCAAAGCACTATTAAAAACAATTTTTAAAAAAGTTTATTTTTCAATGTCTGGTTATCTTGGTGAGGTCTCATAGCTACACATAACAAATGTATAGGGTTAATCTTTATGTCATGTGTTTCTCAAAATAAGTAAGGAATCAGATATATCTATTATTGGATATATTGGATTATTGGATTTTAAAATCGTCAGCCATCAATATTGGTATTCAAAATCCTATTTTGAACTAGATTGGACTGTCTGTCTTTGATTGATCCAGTAAACTGAAAAATCACAGTACTCTACTATATGATGTAAAAATCCTGTAAATACAATCCTGCCATAAAGCAGATCTGCTCATTGATTTTGCATTGTTGCCCACAATGACTCAATACAACCAGAGATGGTGAAAGAGTAGCTGCCTTTGTATTAACAGTCAAAAAGATCATTAGCAAGATCTCTGACGGCTGATAAACTGACAAAAATCATTTCACGGTATGAACTGTTAAACGGCTCTGCATTATAACAAATACAGGACATGCGGGATCCTGATTAACACGGAAATAATTTTAAAAATCTAATTAGTTCTGAATGCTCTCTGCAGGTTACAGCAAGAACTTTGATCAATATGCTAAACATGCATCATTTTTAATAAGGACTTTTCACAAGATCATACGGTTACCAAAACAAAAACACTTTCAGTACATAAAACTGAACTTCACATTAACGCTTGGATCATTTTCAAACTAAGCACACACACAAACATATGCGGAGGATAAGGAGGATAAGTTGACGTTTGTTATCTTAAGATGTCTCTGTGTCCACATACTTGATATGGTTGAGGATGTCCTCACAGTAATTGTGATACTGGTTGAACCAGGTCATGATCTGGACCGGAGCCACCAGGTAGATGGGACTGAATTCTTTTCCCAATGTTGCCTAAGAGACAAACATTAAATTCAGCTTCGTGTTTAATGACCAGTAATATATTTTCATGCTGTTTTCAAACAAACAAAACAATGTATTGGGATTTAGGTGATCTTTTACATACCAGTGCTCTTTCCCTCTGATACAGCAACATCAGCAGCCCCTGAGAGAAAGATGATCATCAGGATGGGGGTTATTTTGAACAGGTTTGAAGCAGCTCACTTATATTAAATCATGTATAGCTGCTTACTGTGTGGTGGTCAGCATGCATGTGTGAGATGAAGACTGTTGAGATCTTAGACAGAGCCTCGTCCACATCGTCCCCGTAGTGTCTGCAGAGCTGACCGAATGTTCCCTCTCCACAGTCCAACAGTACCGACTGACTCGGGCTACATGCAGGTACAAACAGAACATGGGCATCATTAACGCTTCTGTCTTGTGACCCCTTTATGTGCTTATGCAACATTTTGACAGAAAAGACTGACAGTTTTTCATTACTTGTCATTGTTTCAGCATTTACAGGTCTGCACCAGAAAATGAATTATTAACTCAAGAGGAGTCCATTTTAAATTCTAGCGACGATCCCAAAGTTGGAGTGAATTTTGGGTGTAGTGCACTGCATTAGTTTTAGCAAGGTGTACCTAATAAACTGGCAACATAGTGCATTTCCATCTGATGGAATGATGCAGCCATAAAAACATCTTGTGTTCAGTCTTAGGTTTAAATATATTGAATTTTTTTTTCTTTTAAAGAGATATAAAGAGGAAGGAGTTTAAGAAAATGAGCAGATTATTGAAGACATTCCTCCCTGTCCTGCCACAAAAAGACAGAGGACACTGCACTGCAACTATACAGTGCAAGGACAGCTGATGTGCTTCTGGTTACTCCAAATATGCAAAGGGTCTCCTGATGAGTCAAGACTTCTCTTCTCCCTGCTCCTTTATGATCAGAGAATCTGAATTAGGTTGTTAGAGGCTGCAGCATATATTTCAAGTTATGTTGAAAGACTAAAAAAACCCCATAAAAATAAACAAACTGAAAGTGTGTCAATTTCAGGTGATAATAAAAGTAAGACAAAACAAACTATAAAAAGGAGTTGTGTTGCAAATGGTAGTTTTATTATCTGGATTATTGTCCACCTGTCGATGAGTTTTATGGGAACATCATAACAATTAACTAAATACAAATTTTGAATTAAAAAAATGGCCGCTTTACAATCCATTTTTAGGTTTGTGTGGAAACCTGAGATCTGTACCTGATATTAACTAAAGTGCCACTGACGTTTCTGATCTTCATTGGAAGAGCTGATCCTGTTCCCATGAAAACCACCTCTGGGTATTTTTGTCCTCGTCCTGCAGCAGAAATCATAACATCATGCATTTCTACAATCACTAAGATAATGCAAACAAAAATGACAGTTTGACATGGATGCTAAGAACCTTTTTCCCCACATCAAACATCACTGAAGGACCGTCCACTTAAAAGGAAGAAGCCTTTTGTTTGTTTTGTCTTAATAACTAAAAATATCCCTCTGGTATTCCAGAGAACTCACCCGAAAGCTCTGCAGCATCAGCCGAGCAAATCCGCCTGCAGCTGTCCACTTCTTCCAGAAAGTTCGAGACTTCAGAAGCCTCTTTCACAAAGTTTTTAGTGTTGCAGGAGGGGATGGCATCTCTAACGAATGAAATACAGAGTCAAGAAGACACACACCACTGCCTGCAAAAAAAAACACTGGCGGGGAAAACAGGGAATCTTTACAGATCTGACCTTGATGCGCCTCTACAGGGCTCGACAGAAACAGTGAAGAAAAAACACTGACACTTGTAAGACGAGGTTAAAAAAGAAGAAAGAAGAAGAAAGCGGCTGAGAGCAATGGTCCATTCCAGATTGTTTTCTGTGACAAGGCAGCGCTCGGAGCTGCAGAGTAATGTCGGCTAAATTGGGGGGATTGAAGGACAAACTAACCTTTGCCACTCCATTACAGGTCGGAGCTGGAACTTGAGCAGACACTCGGCTCTGACGTTGGTGACGTGTAGAGCAGCCTGAGGCTCCTGGGGGTTAACAAACACACACACAAAACATTGTTTTTTTATGTTTTCTTACAGCTACTCTTCATGTACCACACTTCATTCATCACTTTGTGAACTTTTAAAGAAAAGTACAAATACAGAATCTGAGAACTACTGCAGTCAATACTGTAACAAAAAAATAAAAAACAAAATGGAGCAAATGGGAATGATTATAAATAATTTACAGTGGTAAACTTCAACATGGTAACTAAGCAAACAAAGGAAAAATTATTATATATCTCAAAAAAAAATGTTTTCTTGTAAATTAATTCAAAGCTAAACTTTCGTATATTCTAGAGTCATTACACACAAAGTGAAATATTTCAAGCCTTTTTTGTTTTAATCTTGATGATTACGGCTTATAGCTCATGAAAATCAAAACTGCAGTATCTCAGATTTTTAGAATAAAGAATATATAATACACAAATGGCAACATGAGAAGAGCTCTAATCAGTTAATTAACACCTGCAAAGGTTTCCTGAGTCTTTAATCTCTCAGTCTGGTTCAATGAAGTTCAAATTAACTTTTCCACGATATTCAAATTTTGAGATGTGTAAAATTTTGCTGAGGAAAAAATGATGCATACAAAAAAAAAAATCCAAAATGTGAAATCTACTGATTATTTCCCAAATAACATCATTATAAAATATCAGAAAAAAGTGAAAAATGCCCATTAGAGGTCTACAGCCTGATTCGTTTCAACATGTACAGTCAGACTTTTCACCTTGCAAATACACTGAATTTACAGAAATAATGTAGAAGTAATTATAAAAAAGTATGCCAAGAATAGCGTTCATATCAGTGCTCACTGAAAGGATTACATCTTATCATCAACGTTACCTTTGTTTTGTAAGACTTGAGTTCTGGAAAGATTTCTGGGTGAATCATGTTCAGCTGCGCCTGAATCTTGTGACTTCGGATGTTGTGGACCGTACAGACGTGTTCATTAAGGATCAGGTGTTCTGTTGTGGATGGAAACCTGCGGAAACACAGAGAAAACTCTGAGTTTGTTGAACTGAATGTTAAAACAAGCAGGATTCTCCATGGAGTCTGGTTTCAAAGTGCAAATACAAACCTCTCCATCCACTTTTTGTATTGATCCGTTTCCAAAACAGACTCTGGGGTCATGTGGACTACCAACGCAGTGCAGTCCTCTGTCCCTCCTGTTTGGTATCTAGAGTGGATGACAGACCAAATTTAACACTTTTTGTTTTTTTAAATTTATGTTTTTTCCCACATGCATTCAGCTTAGTTCAAATAAACAAACAAACATTAACTACCTTCTCAGCTGCCGATTGGTGCAAACCGCTTCAACAAACTCCTCAGACGGACACTCGACAATAATAAAGACTGGTCCTGGGTCAGTGGGAGTACAAACCTGCTCAGGCCGGATCTACGAGAGGACAGAAATGGTGTCAGATAATACATCTCTGAGCTGCAGCCTAAAGCCCAGTTCAGACCAAAGATTCCCGACAAGAAAACTCTTGACTCTCAGTACTTCCGGCTTTTCAGGTTTGCCGTTTTTTTTAAGCTAGATTTAAGTTGTAGCTTATTAAAATATGAAAGAATGATTATATAGATGAGGAGGAGTGTCATGCATGCTGCTGTTCAAGCTAACAAAGAGCAGTCTGATCTTATTAAAGAGGTAATATTCTGCTTCTTGGCTTTTCCCCGTTCCTTTATTGTGTTACATATTTTTGTGCAATGCTGAGTGAAAAAGCCAAAAGTCCACCTTAAAAGGGAGAAAACACTGCTCCTGACCTGCCAGAAAGCAGCTTGATTGTAGTCCAGCCTTTACTTCAGTAACTTATCTGCGTCACCGTGTTACATCTACGTCTATTCAGCCACGACGTCAAAAACCACACACAAAGTGACAAGATGTCCGCCCGCTGCCTCCCCTCACCCCACCTACCAAATGTAAGATACCCTCCAGGCAATCAATGGACATAAAGTTGTTACTGTGATGTAGGGACAGTGCACTTATTGTTATAAAACATCACATATGAAAGACAAATTAGTTAAAAATTAATAACTTACCACTCTGAAACCCCTGGCTTCAGTCTAGTCTAAGGATCAAACAGAAGCTTCACTCAGTAGCTAAAGCGGAGTGTGAACACAGGGTGACAAGAGGCGCTGCAGTAATGTGCGGTATGACAAAAATATGGTGTTTTATTTTAAATTAAAACCATGTAAACCTGTTGTGGTCCATCCCCTAAATAAAATTATGAACCTGAAAATGAGCATTATATGGACCTCAATAATTACATTTGTGTCAAACAGACATGACTGTTCCTCAAACAAACTGATAAAGCTACCGTCTCTTTCCTTCATCCAAAACACCTTTTCGACCAGCTGACAGTTTGCTGACTTCGCTACGAGCTGACTGGCTGTCGAAACAGATGACGTCCCTTAAGCAAGTGGCTGGTTTGCTCTTAGAACTTGAGTCGCAGGCGACGCCATCGGCTGGCTTGAGCCGAGCGGAGACGGACCAGTTTACACCGCTGCAACGTTCTAAAAAGCTTTCGCCTCGTCGTGAATCTTTGGTCTGAACTGGGCTTAACAAGGGAGGTCATATCAGACAGAGATAACGCACCTCTTGTCCTTGGTATGTGATACTTTTCCCGTCCTTCAAAGCTGCTATGAGTGGACCGATTGCTGCTGTGCCTCTGTGGGGAACAAAGGTTTCATCAGTTCAGAGAAGTAGAACTATAGCAAAAAAATTTGTTTAAGCTCCTTCAATGTAAGAATATGCTGCTTTTTTCTCTTTTAACAGAATTGTTAAATTAAAATATTTGATTTTTGTACTGTTGGTTGCTCAAAACAAGCAATTAGAATTCGTCAATTTGGGCTCTCTATTTTCTGAACATTTTACAGAACAAATAAAAACAGATAACATTTAGAATGAACAACAAAACATGCCAGGTGCAGTTACATTCATGGTTTATACAACAATTGTGGGCTATAATGACAATATAATAAGTAGAGCTATAATACTTAATTAAAAATAATCAGTTGACATCAATTGACTATTTCCATCCCATAAAGTTCACTCAAACCCGGAACAATAACAAGAACGACATAACTAATAATACTAATACAACAGCTGTATGGATCTGATGGTTAAAATGAAGAAAAACGCATCATACCAGATCTTATCCTTATTAAATGATCAGTAACTGCCACATGTTCTGCTTTATCTGCATTAAAAATCCACTTACACTGGCAAACCGAGCTCCTTGGCTTGAGCGACTAAGAAATTTCCCTTCTTGGGGTGAAGCTGGAAAAAAAAGAAGAATATCAGATACAAAAGTTCCTTCATGTGTACATGATATACAGGATGACAAAACTCTTGAAATTTTCCTACCTTACATATGAAAGAAACCACCAAAGAGGTATCTTTAGCTGAGTTTTGTCTTTCACCTACAAGATATTAGAAACAAACATTAACTGTTGGAAAAGACACGTTTTTACACCCAAGCTGTATGTATCTCCTTTATTTACACTGTGTACTGTATTGTCGAACTACTACTGGATGGATTGTCAGGAAATTTCATCATCATCAGCCTCAGTTTAGAGTTAATAACCAAATGTTAGCATGCTAACACACTAATCTAATACAGGAAAAGTAATAAACATCAGCGTGCCCTCAGCGTTCAGATTGGGGAAGTAATAAATATTATATGAAATTAGGATTAGATTCCTTGCAGTTCAAGGAAGCACAAATATGTAAACTGCATCAGGTTGAAAATATATGATGTCAGTGTGAGTTGATCAAAATGTTTGAGAATGAATCTATGAACTCCTCAAAACAACCAGATCATTTTCACAAACATAAGCTTCAGGATTTCCCCTTCAGTTCGTGACACATGCAAAATCCCCAAATTTCCGCGAGTGGCTCCTAGACTTACAGGACTCACCTGGCCTTCCACCGTGGCTGTTAGTGTGGATGTCGTCTATCCTGGGAGAGGCAGGACTTCGAGAGGGGCTACTCCTGCCTGACGTGGAGGAAAGCTTTCCGCCATCACCCCTCAACTGTGCTAGAAAGCAAAAAAAACAAGAAAGAGTCAGCTTTGAACCATAACACTATGTAAATATCAAAAGCAGGCAGCATGATTATTTAAACTCACCAAATATTGGCACTTGATAAACAGTCATTGTCTCGTCCGTGTACGTCTCTTCAGTGTACGGTCGAACCGCTGGGAGCGTATGATACAGTACACATCACACAAGGCTGATACAATGCAAAGAAACAATGCAGTCATAAATTCAACATACACAGCTTGATGTCTTCCAGTGGTCCAGAGAACGACTTGATGGCATTCAGGTAGTTCTCCTTTTGATAAAAGAGGCAGAGAAGAAGAGACAGTAGATGTAAAGCAAATACATGTTACATTAAAATCCTGCTGCATGCGTGTTCACACTAGGGTTGGGCGATGTCTACTAATTTCCACTGGACGATGCCACAATGAAGATAACGTTGTCATCAGGTAAGTGGGGGGGGGGGGGGGCAGCAGTCGTTCTCGCACAGTCTATAAGTTACGTTACAAGTCGCAGTGGATATTTTAGGCACGGACCAGGTAAAGCAACAGTAAACACACAGAGTGCAAATGTTGGTTTCATTTGTTTGAAAGGCTGCGTCATTAATAAGCCGACGTGCGGCTCACCTGCTGCTGTGATAACAGATGGCGGTTGGAAATATACGGAAAAAAGATGAGTTCTCAGTCTTTTAGGCGACTTTATAAAACATACTGCTGATGGAGAAAATGGAGCAGATGGGGGCAGAGAGGCAGAGAGGCGGGGCAAGCCGGGGTGTTTACCTGAGGTGTAGGTGTGTGTGAGTGTGTCAGAGTGTGGGGAGAAGAGAACTCCGAGGCAGGTGCATAGCCTACTTAAAAACAATAATAAGAATGTTCAGGGTCATTAAAACCTGCTTTCACAGGGTGGTAATAAGAAAGTTTGAGATTCTTTTTGCTGGGGGATGTCTGTCAGCCATCGCCGATGGACGATCTATCGGCCCAACCCAAGTTCACACTGTATGTCTGAGTTTCTCACCAGCTGTGGAGGTCCGGAGAGAACACACTCTGGAACACCAGTGTCCTTCAAGGTTAATATCATCCCTGCAGAGGAAACAACACACATGGGTAAGTGTTCTGTAAACAAAACAATAAAAATCAGCAATCAAAATCATATTCAGTAGCCGCCATACTTCCAAAAATAAACCTGTCTGTATAACTAAATCGCTACATGCACATCTTTTAAGGATATAATACACTTTACTTTAATAAATGTGTCAATACATGTCACTAAGAATTTTTATGAAAATCTTTTGATAAAAGTATTTATGCTTCTTAAAATGATGTGCTTTTTCTTATAATATAAATTTTGCTAATGTTTTATAATTTGGTGTGGTCTAAATCCTCAACCTAAAACTCTCAACACTGTTTCTTTCTGAAGCCTGAGATATTATATTTTTATCAAAATATAAAACAAATTATTTCAATATGTTAAACTGTGACAATAATCAAAAGGTATCAAATAATAATCTGCATTCATTTTGTAAGAAGCCAGTTTTGCAGCTCTTAAGACATGTTGTCCATATTTCTCTTCTTACTACTACATATTCAACGTAGTGACGAGACGCGCTCTGTAGAGCAGTTTGTCCGTTTGGGCTACTGTAGAAACATGGCGACGTCCATGTAAGAGGCTCTGTGGTGTATGTAGATAGAAATGGCTCATTTTAAAGTAATAAAAACATAACGGGTCATTATGAAAGGTCTTTATACACCAATGAAAAGATAGTTATGGATATTATATTGAATTTCTGTCAATAGATCCTCAGAAATATTACACACTGGACCTTTAATGAAAACCAATAACTATAATTAGGTGAAATATAATCTAGGGCTGCACGATTAATCTGATTGCAATCACAATGTGCGATTACATAACTGCTAAAAGGGTGCGATTCAATAAAACAGAGACAGTGTGTGTGACGCTCTCTTCTCTGTGTGCGCTGCAGTCTGCTCATTATCTTCGCCCACACGGGGCTCTCGCATGTGCCTCTAAAACAGATAAGCCTACGTGCAATGACAAAAAATATTTATGAGCAGTGTCCGAGTAACTTTTAAGACAACAACCCCCCCTCCCCGCCTGGCCGCTAATTGTTCAAAACATAGTCTGATGTGCTCCTAGACTGGGGGCGGGACATTAAAAAAAGTTTGACGTGCTGCAGCAAATCATTAAATGTCTGTGTTACATCTATTTTTCTAGTTATTGTTATAAATATTGTTTAACCTTGTTCAAGTTGAGAAATGTCAGTATTTTGTGCATTCCTTGATAATTAAGCAAGTAGACTCACAGCACCATTTGTTCCATTATAATCTAATCGCAAATCGCAGTATGACTTTTTCTCCAAATCATGCAGCCCTAATAATAACCTTCCTTGGATAGCTATGACCTGGATGATATGATCTTCACAGACGTCACCTTTTCAGTTCATTTCACGGAGCAACAACATCATTCATTTGGAGTCGTGTTTGTGTCTCCTGATTCACTTCCTGTTTTTGGTCTCCACCAACTCTTGAGGGAAATATCACCAGCTAGTTTCTAATAGGGATGTACTGATCCAACTTTTTCAGTCCCGATACCAATACCTGGGCTTTGGGTATCGGCTGATGATGTTACTGATCAGTGTAAAATAAATGAGCTATATTCCTCACTGGGAGGAAGAGACTGGGGATCATTCCTTCATGTGTGAGGTGACATCAGGCTTGATCAGGTGTGAAATACTTCCAAGCTGCTGACCCCTTGATTTTAGCTCACTCCATGCTGTGTTAGCTGTCCTAGCAAAATGTTCAGGTCTACCGGAGTACTGTTGACACGGTAATTTAACTGATTAGATCGGCCCCATAGATCAGCCTCTTGACACTGACAACACCGTCCGGCTATCTGAGTAAGTACGGAGTCCGATATCGGATCAGCGTAGTCTCTAACTGCGTCTGTCTGTGTCAGCAGCCTGCTGTGGCCAAAAACGCTATGAGAGCACAGAGAGTGAACAAGAACAGTAAAGTTGCAGCCAGACAGATAAACAATAGGCTGAAACTCACTATAAAGCTCTGTAAAAAGCCGAGCGGAGCTGCAGGATCATCAATACGAGAGACAACTTCCAAATTGTTTTTACATTCTCATTTCATACATTGTTCTTAGAAAAATACTGAACAGTCAGTGACACGTATTATTTTGGTGTTTAAGATCCCAATTCATCAGACAGATGCTACTGACCTGATAAACCTCCCACATTCTCCCAGCTCAGTCTGGTCAGGAAGATGTTGTCCAATCGAGCAGCTTTCAGTCTGCCAGAGGAAAACACAAGAATACGATCTGTCTGTGTCCATCAGACTGACCGAGATGACGACAATTTGGGTATGTTGCGATGTTCAGCTTACTTGTGTTCCTGCATGAGTCTCTGTGTTCCTTCTCCACAGTTAAACAGATACCTGCAGCAGAGGGGAGTGAAGTTTGTAATAGTTATGCCCTTAATACTGCCTCCTTTAAATACTACAGAATTTGACACGAGTCCCCAGAGTAGGTGTTATGGGGAGCCACACATTCATGAAAGACTATTTATGTAGCCTGAAACTAAATCGTTAATAACTTATTTTTCATCATCAAAACTTGGTTTAATTGAAGACCACCTGAAAGCATCTTTAAGACCCCGAAGGGGCACACAGTTAACTTTACACAGCAAGATCAGTTTACTCTTCACAAGGAGCACTACTGGGCAGGTGCTCAGTGTCTTCTGTGGCTCTGGCAGAACTTTCGATAAGCTCTTTAAAAACCCAGATGATGTCCTCGGGATTGTCTCAGTTTGGGCTAGATTTTTGACAGAAAGCCTGTGTAACACGCTCAGGTTTGGAGTTTAAAAAGATGTGACCACAAAAACACATTTTCAGGTTGTAAGTGTGGAGGATCCAGTTATTTTGTAGCTTGGCCTATACTAGGGAATAGTTTTAATATCTCAGCTTCTGCTGCACACATGTTGACCATTCTTTTTTAAATGTGTCTCTCAAAAGTCCCCCAACTTCATGGTATGCAATGCTACCTCACAGAAAAAGTATGGGAGTTAGCATTGCACTCCCAACGAGTAACTTGGGAGTGTTTCATATCTTTACTAGTGGAAAGTTTCATTCCAGTGTACTTGAGTGTAGTGAGAAGTGTGTTTTGTTGCAACTGTAAGCACGCTTAATAGTAATGGGGCGGCTGCGGCTCAGGAGGTAGAACGGGTTGGCCGCTAATCGGAAAGGTCGGCGGTTCAATCCCTGGCTCCCCCTGGTTGCGTGTCGAAGTGTCCTTGGGCAAGATAGTGAACCCCCGAATTGCCCCTGTGTATGAATGTGTGTGAATGTTAGTTTCCGTTTGAGCACTTAGGCTCAGTGTAGGAATGTGTATGACTGGCGCTTTGAGTGGTCGAAAAGACTAGAAAGGCGCTATACAAATACGGAGCATTTACATTTAATGTCAGAGTGAACTGACACATCCTAAAGTACACTTGTACATCACTGCAGCAAGGCAGAAATCCACTGGAGGTCAGTAAAAACAAGATTTTCACTTGATGTTAAGCTGATCTTCAACAAACCACATATAAACTACAGTAATTATGTTTTGTCGTTGTATGTTTTGCACAGTTTCCTTTAAAGACTGCATTTTAATCTAATTTAACACTTTGTACCACAGTTTTTGTATGTGAAATTTGGGTGAACGACGCTTACACAGCCCTGGTTTCAAATTTAAACCCCGGACCACTGAACCCCCTGACATTTTTCTGCATAAATTACCTGTTGTACTCGGAGAAGACATACAGTGACGCAGCATTATCCCTGCTCCCAGCGCCGACCACCTGCAGGTACACCGTGGACGGTCCGTGAACGTCGCCTCGTCTGCTGCGGTTCTCTTTGGTTTTCACTCGCCGCAGCGGCTCCTTCTGCTTGGCTTTCTTCAAACCCGGCGGCTGTCTCGTCTCCGGGTTATTGTTAGTGGCCATTGTTCGGAAAAACTGGAGAACAGTCCGGGGGAAACGAAAATGACAGCGTGCGACAGCCGGAGGACCAGCAGAGAGAGCTCTGCCTTTGACAAACAGGAATGTGAAGGACCTGAGCTTCAGATGGACCGTATTCATAATAAATACGAAACCCAATATTTTTAATTACCGGCGCCGGTGAATCACATCTGAACACACTCAGTTAAAGCTTATTTAAATAATTAATTACCTAACAGAGGCTAGGTGCACATTCAGCAGGACTTTGGAGGTTGGTTGACACATGTGACACTTCTTCCGGCATCTAATGATGACGTTAACATATCTTATAGCTCATTGGTGTGTAGAATCATTTAGCAGGTTTTGTGGACCAATCACAGAGGGTTTTTGAGAGAGGGAGGCGGGGATAAAACTACTTATTGAAGAGGGGTGTAACAACAAAAACTTACCTAAAATAATATTACAAATATTAAGCTCTTATAATAAATCCTGACTAGGAAATAACCCCAAACATCATGCTTATTAAAAGGGTTGAAACAATTTAATAGTGTAAAAACAAATATATTTATTTTTTTTTTTTTACAGATTACCAACTCATGATGTGAAGGAAAAAACAGATGCATGCACAGGTCAGGCAAACATCCACCTGATGGGAATCAAAACAACAAATGACATCTTTACGAAAAACTGAGGTGGAGATTTCTTGTTTTAAAAAAGCTCACATTATCCCAAAAGTGATTTACAGTTCACATAAAAAAAGACATTGAAATTGTCAAACGCAGTAGCCAGTACATTTGAAAAAATAAAAGATTTTTGTTTGTATTTAGTCACTTTTGGGATCAAGTCATTTACTAATTAAATGATGAGACTATAAAGCAGGAAGAAACAGAGAACAGCTGCTCAACATCAGCAAAACCAACTTGCTGATCAATGATTTTTGGAAAAAGGAGGTGAAGACACTCACTCACAGTTTCAGGTTCCTGGGAATCAGTACCACAGAGAACTTCACACGATTATCTCACATCTCCACGCTGGTAAAGAAAGCTCAAAAACGCCTGTATTTCTTAAGGAAACTTAGCTAAAAAAAAAGCTAAATTGCCAAGTTCTTACTTTATCAGAGGAGCAATAGAAAACATCCTGACTGGAAACATCACAAATTGGCACAGGAGGTGCACGGCCCAGTGATGATATTATTCTGGTATACACTGTTAGATGGTATCATATTACTCTTACATGTACTAATCACTAATGCTCAGTGGTGGACTCAAGCTGTCTGACAGACAGGGGCATCAAAACACCAAAAAGGGCAACAGCTTCAGGTGGTGGGGCAACAGGGCGCTGAATTTGGACGACACGCACTGACACACATTTATTGAAAATTCATGCCTTTCGAGTGTATACAAAAGCTGGTTTAGATGATTGGTATTCTCGAGCGCCCCCAGAAACAAAACATCTGCGCAGCATAACTTAGTGAATATTTATTTATTCCATTGGAAGAGCACCGCATCACCTCGAACATTGGGACACCCCAGAGGGCACATCATTGTTTTATGTTTTGGTTTTTATTTTACATAAGAAGTGCACTTCATCACATTGTTTGCACATACGGGCACCTTGGAAGGTACTTGACTATATTTCCTCACACAAAAGTCGAGACTAGAGGGCACTGCATCATGTTTTCTTATTTTATTTATCAAAAAGGGGCATTCAAGAGGGCACTTTTGTTTTGTTTGTTTTTAACATGGGAGTCCACCACTGCTTCTGCAACAATTTCCCCTATAGGGATCAATAAAGCATCACAGTATCTTATCTTAAAGGCACTATTCTGCTTCAGAAACACGGACACAAAACCTAACATTATTATAAATACATTATCTATTCAGGAAAGAGACAAAACACACTTTTCCTTTCTCTTCCTTTATTTATATATGAAGTATATAGTCCATTGCACAGGGAAGGCAGCAGCCTCTCAGCACCGACTGGACTGCAGGTCTAACATGATTCTGACCACCAACACTTTAAACTGCTTTATACCCAGAGAAGCAAAGTTCCATTAAGATACCAAACACAATGCTTTCATTTACATACATGGAAGAGGTTGAGACAATTCACAAAGAGCATTATTCCAGTATGCTGAAGAAGCTCCAAATCAAATACTCCACATGATTTTTGGTTCTATAAATACAAGTTCCAGGTTATTTTCTTTTTTTTTTTTTCCTTAAATCACTGTACTAACCACTGAGATGCATCCTCATCAAGATGAGTCAAGACCATGATTGATTGTATCAGCTAGTATACTTACGTGACTGTGTGACTGTGTGTGTGTTTGTGAACGAGAGAAACAGAAGTGCTGATATATTATACAGACATGACTGAAATGAACACCACTTTTATTGCAAATGGTGTTCTTTTATTCTTTTTTTTTTTTTTTTTTTTTACAATTCTCTTAACACTGCAATATGGGGACCAAGCAAATTTACAAGAGGATTTATTTTGTTTACCTTGATGACTCTTTTTTAAATGTATTTATTGTTGCAGACTGGTGTATATTTATTGGTGCATTTCTGTCTTGTATCAGTCCATATACATGGGTGAGCTGGGAGACGCTGGCATCTGATCCAGGAGCCTGCAAACATAACCAGCTACATCGACGGAGCGCTCCTCGTACATCTGGATGAACGGGTCTTTCTGGAATGGGAAAAGAAAATGTATACATCAATACTCCTACAAAATAAGAGGACGGTATGTAAACTATCACTGCATGTAAAAAGTAAACCTCCTCTAAAGACTGGATGTAAGTCCACTCAATACATTTTAAAGCTTTCATTTGGTACTTTGAGTGTATACAGAGAGGCCAGTAGCCTTCATGAGCACTCAGTATGAACTCACCAGTAGCTCCTTGTACTTTGGCCTCTTCGACTCATCCTTTGTAAGGCTTGAGGAAATGGTTGAAAAATAATGTGTGTTAAAAGTATGAGGGTGCAGTTCAGCCATTTGTCCACCAGAGGGAACAGAAGAGCAAGCAGCAGCTGAAGTTTGTACACCATGAAACAACTGAGAACCTCTATTACAGCCAACTTGTAAAAGGTTCAATTTTTGGACATTAGAACATAATTTCTATTCAAAGTCTGCACTCGCAGCAGTGGGTCCTTACCACACGTTAACAAAGGAGATGAATTTGGGAGAGAAGCGCCTCTCATCTGAGTTGCTGAGTTGTGGCGGGTCTCCCCTCACCACCTGGGTCAACTGGTCAAACACACTGTTCCACTTCGGGTAGGGAAACCGCCCTGTGGCCAGTTCATACTGAAATACATGATATACACACATAAAATCAGGGCAAACTGAAACTGCAAATTGGGTGTTGAATAGCATTAGAAAAACCACAGGAATCTAAAAGCCTTTCTCACAGTTAATGCCATAATTATTATGTTAAGTTGATAAAGATGCTTCAGGATCTTGAGGGCTCAGCACCTCTGCACAACACCTTCATGGTACGTGATGTCTAACCGTGTTTATCAAGGCATGATGGGAGCAAAAAGCATGTGCTATAAATTGCAAATGATTCAACATTAAAATACTGAAAATTTGGGACCATATTTTAGAAATTTTTATATTTTATTAACATTAAATTTACACATTTGAATCATTCCTCCACTCTCTTTAAAGGACCTAAGGATCGGTGAGTATATGAGTGTGTGAGGCACCTTAGATTGCAGTGCTTAGAGCCAGATACTCACCAGTGTGATTCCCAAACTCCAAACATCTGAGCGGACATCGTAGCCCTGCCTGGATGCGCTGGGGTCTATTCGCTCAGGCTGAAAATTAAACAGGAAACTCTGGGTTTAGAAACTCTAGTGAACAGCTAAAAAGAAAGCTACTGTTTGTGTTTCACGTATGCTGAAAATGACGGGTGCTTTTGGGTGACAATGAGACGGTGTGTGCAGATGATGCATGTAAGAAATTCCCTGTGTGAGCTCATATTCTGAGAAACCCAGATAAGATGGCTTACTCAAATATGGAAAGCACGAATGTAGCTTTGAATTGACTCATTACTTGTTACTTGTGCTATTCGTGGAAACTCTGCAGAAGATTTCAAAAGCTCCAAAGCTTGTTTCGCTCTTTTGAGCCTGCCTGTTTCAAAACGTTGACGGAGCTTTTGTCAAATGAAAAGATACCACGGGACTGATGAGGACAGAAGCTTCAAAATGCCATTCATGCTTCAGTTTGACAGTTTTGCAGTTACACTATGTGCTCCTATGTACATTAAAAAGACATGAGTCATACATAAGTATGGGAACATTTCTACCTGATACCAAATACCAAGTTTACAAAAGTAATATTTTAATAAATATCAATCTCTAATCGTTACAGAAACTCATCTAAAATGTCACATAAATAGCTCACAGTGGACACTGGGCCAACACCATGCAAATAAGTTACTTTATTTATATATAAATAAATAAAATAGTTTATATGTGGGCTTATTGGGCAACGCATTTACAATAAGATGTGCATTTACTGCAGCACTTCTAGACAAAAGTATTATAAATTTAATGATACCTTCGACTGTTATTGCACATAGAGCTGGGGGATATGGCCAAAAATGTTATCATGATAAATGTCAAATCATTATTTCTGTCAGGTTTAAAAGCTGATTTTTGATCCTGAGTGACAAGATGGTTAATTGTGGTTTTAAACTTTTCTTTATGGTCAGAACAAACACTTGACGCCAAACAGTGGATCACTTAGTGCTAATTTGTTCATGATTCAAATTAATTAAATCAAACATTTATTTAATATTTGTTATATTGTTATTGAGGAAAATTATATTTTTTTGTTTTATTGCCCAGCCCTAATTGCCAAATTGTATGAGATTTACTCTTTAAAATCAGTGAGGTGTTGCAGTCCCTGCGACCCTGTACGCAGGATAAGCAGTTGACGATGGATGGATGGATATGTTGCAGTGTTTTGGCTCCAGTCTTGAAGGGCTGCTGTAAGTTTTGCAAACTACAAGATGTCACTGTACATGTTGGATTTAAAGCCCCGAAGCTTCAAATCTTTTCTCAGCATTAACAGAAAGAAAGCCTCAAAGCTGCAGAAGGCTTCACCTGCCCATCACAAGGAAATTCTACTGGCACATGCTACAATGGTGCATGTAAACAACTTTGCATGAACAAGATTTTAAGATGCGTTATATGCGAGTTCCAGACTAGATTATCGGGAGGAAGAAGGTGTTCATGCCCAAACTGGGCCGGAAAAAATCCATTGCTAGACAAACTGAGAATACCAAACCAGCTCTTCACCTCTGGGCATGTTTTCACCTGCACAACAAGATGTCATCAGCTCTCCAGCTCAGACACACGAAGCATGTTCCCTCATTCCTGTAGCACTGCTCGCCTTACAAGACCGCCATTGCCAATTCTCTCACTCACAATTTCCTCTCCAGTTCATCACAAAATCCGCAGAACAGACTTGTTAATGAAGTGTGTTGAAAGGCTGCAGAAATCTCCTGCTGCTGTGCAGAGAAGGAGGAAGCACCTCGCTGGCCCATTTACAGGCCTGATTTAGATGCTGATGTCACCCAGCAGAGCGGGACAGTCTGTGCTGCAGCGCTGATGGGTTTTATGGAACAGCAGCTGACTACTGCAGAGAGCCCACTCACATCTGCCAAGACTTGAAGTGTTTAGTCTCAATCACGGCAAATAAATTGTTTAAAATAGAAAACGGCATGAGTGTGGAAACGATTAGCCGGCTATTTTAATGATGCATTTATTGTAAAGTAATCTATTATATATAAAAATAAACATTTGTAAGTTGGAATTTGATCTTTTCTACCTCTTATCAATATAAACGGAATCACTGTGGGTTTTCAAAATTGTTAAAATAAAATAAGCAACTAGAAGGTCACACTTTGGGCTCTGGAAACTGCTGATGGTCATTTTACAGACTAAATGATTCAGTGTTTAATCAAAATAATGAACATAATTGTTAGTTGCAGCCCTAAACAGCATCATAGTTTTTACAATTGGTTACACGTATTTCTCTGTACCAAGTTTACTTTTTCAAAAGAAAGTATGGACAAAACGGTGGATCACTTTTCATTGCTTTGACAGAAAATGCATTCAATGACCACATAGTTTACTCGACCACCTTTAAAACTCAATTTTGCACTTTCTCATATTATTTTAAAGCCCTAATTTATGTTCAAAACATAACACAACACTACAGTAAATTAGACCGCAATTTGCCACATCTACATCTAAAGAAATGGCATAATACATGGAGCCTGCCTACAACACTGAGCTCCTCATGTCATTCCTGTATCACGTCTATGGAAGATTTGTGCTAGGCAAGGAAAGGAGGCAAGAGAGGATTGAAGGTGTGATGTGGATGAGGAGACACTTACTTACATGCATTACTGAAATTACTTTAGTTAAAGCCTACTGCAGCATTTTCTTTAGGTCATTCTGGTCTGAGTGACTTTTTCTTGTTGGGAATCAGTGCTGTTGTACAGAAATCGATCCTGACATGTGTATGAAGTGTCGTTAGTGCATTTTTGGTCGTGAGATTGTCTTGTGGTGCTGAGCTGCATGTTGGTAAAAAGAACTGTGTAACTCAGTTTAGGGAAATGTGTGTAAGCAAAAAAAAAAACCACAGATGTGTAAGACTTATTGAGAACAGCAGCTTTTGTCCTAACCATGGCCTTCAAAAGTTGCAGATAAGAGCTACTGGTTCTTTAAAACCGGAATTCCACCTGCATCCGACACCTGAGTGTTGCCTGAGGAGCATGTTGTCTATACTCTGTCGTAAGCACATATCTAAACAATAAGTCAGGCTCCCCAGCTGTACTGAGGTCAGTTTTCTTCCGTCATTAAGCAGGCTGTAACCAGCACCACAGTGATCAAACACCTGGAGAGTCTGCCAGCTGGAAACAAGAAACTGGAACGGAGATTCCTGCTGTCTGAGCTCACAGCCATGGGAAGCTCCTGGGTGACTTCGTTCAAACCACCTCATGAATGAAGCTCCCGCACTCGGCCTTTCATAGGGCGGTGTGTGTGCGCGTGTGTATATGTCTGGTGGTATGCTGCTGCGTCGTGATAGTGCCTAACCAAATTTAGAATGGAAAGTGCTGTGGAGATGCCGGGGGGGGGGGGGGGGGGGGTGCCCCCAGGTGACGTAACCCCACAACAGAAAATAACCTCCCGTGATGACGACGCGGTGAGATCACCTCTTTGAAATGCTGCTCTTCAATTATGTTGTCAGTAAGGGCAGTGATAATCAATTATTTCTAAAAAATATAAGGATTTGCTTTCATTATTTTATATCATTGTAAATAAATATATTTGTTAGAGAAAGCAAAGCAAGCGATTTGAAGACATCACCTTGGTCATCTGATAAATTAACCTACTGATCCTTATACAGGTGCTGGTCATATAATTAGAATATCATCAAAAAGTTTATTTATTTCAGTAATTCCATTCAAAAAGTGAAACTTGTATAATGTATACATTCATTCCACACAGACTGATATATTTCAAGTGTTCATTCCTTTTAATTTTGATGATTATAACTGACAACTAATGAAAACCCCAAAATCAGTATCTCTAATTAGAATATTGTGGAAACGTTCAATATTGAAGACACCTGGTGCCACATTCTAATCAGATAATTAACTCAAAACACCTGCAAAGGCCTTTAAATGGTCTCTCAGTCTAGTTCTGTAGGCTACACAATCATGGGGAAGACTGCTGACTTGACAGCTGTCCAAAAGACGACCATTGACACCTTGCACAAGGATAGCAAGACACAAACGGTCATTGCTAAAGAGGCTGGCTGTTCACAGAGCTCTGTGTCCAAGCACATTAATAGAGAGGTGAAGGGAAGGAAAAGATGTGGTAGAAAAAAAGTGTACAAGCAATAGGGATAACTGCACCCTGGAGAGGATTGTGAAACAAAACCCATTCAAAAATGTGGGGGAGATTCACAAAGAGTGGACTGCAGCTGGAGTCAGTGCTTCAAGAACCCCATCACGCACAGACGTATGCAAGACATGGGTTTCAGCTGTCGCATTCCTTGTGTCAAGCCACTCTTGAACAAGACACAGTGTCAGAAGCGTCTCGCCTGGGCTAAAGACAAAAAGGACTGGACTGCTGCTGAGTGGTCCAAAGTTATGTTCTCTGATGAAAGTAAATTTTGCATTTCCTTAGGAAATCAAGGTCCCAGAGTCTGGAGGAAGAGAGGAGAGGCACAGAATCCACGTTGCTTGAAGTCCAGTGTAAAGTTTCCACAGTCAGTGATGGTTTGGGTGCCATGTCATCTGCTGGTGTTGGTCCACTGTGTTTTCTGAGGTCCAAGGTCAACGCAGCCATCTAGCAGGAAGTTTTAGAGCACTTCATGCTTCCTGCTGCTGACCAACTTTATAGAGATGCAGAAAATCTATGTGGTATTGTGAAGAGGAAGATGCGATACGCCAGACCCAACAATGCAGAAGAGCTGAAGGCCACTATCAGAGCAACCTGGGCTCTCATAACACCTGAGCAGTGCCACAGACTGATCGACTCCATGCCACGCCGCATTGCTGCAATAATTCAGGCAAAAGGAGCCCCAACTAAGTATTGAGTGCTGTACATGCTCATACTTTATGTTCATACTTTTCAGTTGGCCAACATTTCTAAAAATCCTTTTTTTTGTATTGGTCTTAAGGAATATTCAAATTTTCTAAAGAATAGAATTTGGGATTTTCATCACAATTAAATGAAATAAACATTTGAAATATATCAGTCTGTGTGCAATGAATGAATATAATATCCAAGTTTCACTTTTTGAATGGAATTACTGAAATAAATTAACTTTTTGATGATATTCTAATTATATGACCAGCACCTGCATAGAAGATTTTTTGATTATCATTACGCATCAGTCCTCTGTGGCTCTGGAGGAGCTTCCTGAAATCTGAAAAAACAACCCTGATGATGCCAAAGTGATGTCATCAAGGTCATCTCAGTTTGGGCTTAGACAGGACGCCTGCGTTACAAACTGGAGGTGTGGAGTTTGAAAGATACGGGCATTTACCAGAGAAAGAGGTTCTAATGAAAAGCTTATGTCGAGTTGCATTATGGGAAATGTAGGCAGTGTTTTTTGAGCTTGGCCCTTATCTCCCGCTTCAGCTTTGACCATTTTTTCTCCTTTAATCAACAATGTAAAGCCTTAAATAGAAATTTCAAATGTAACTTCAATCATGTAATGTACCAGACTGTCGTGAGTAGTTTCCTTTTCCAATGCACACACAATCCAGAGTCTGTAGGTCGTTGATGGGGTCGCTGATCAAGTATGGAGATTTCAAATCCCACTCTCTTCATCAAACACTGACTACCGCTGGCATTTCAAGACTGTTACACTGGTAACCTTTTGCATTTTCACAGCCAACGACAGAGGAAGATATTACCAGAGACTCGCTTCAGAAGACATTTACATTACATTAACTCATTTAGCTGATGCTTTTATCAAAATTGACTTGCAATTGGTTTGTCAGATGTTGCATGCCTCTGGGGCAGCAAGGGGTTAAGTGTCTTGTTCCATCGCCACCCTAGACATTTACCTTTGAAGGCTTAAAAAAACTTAAAAAATGCAAATGGAAACAGCAATTCCTTACAACAATCTTCTGGACCTTTTAGGGTCAAACGCAACTTGACTTCCCTTTTCTAAGCAGGTTTGAGTCAAGGCTCGATCATTCAGTGTTGTTCATCAGCACCAGTTAAACCAGCTATACGGATTCATGAGGAATTATCTTACACTCACAATAATATAACCACTTCTGTCTTCTGCCAGCAGACGCCTGCTCTGACTCATTTCCCTATCCAATTTTATTGAAATGATAGAACTGTTTGCTTTAACGCTTTGTCACTAGACAGGACACAGTTGAGGAAAGAATCCTTTATTTTGGAGATGCAGGATGTGAGCCAGGTTGATCAAACCACCACTGTCCCTTTATGGTGCAAGATCTATACGATTAATTTTGTGTATGATCAAAGTTTTACAATCTACCACATATTCTTTTTTTAAACCTGTTGTGAGTGTTCAAGCCATGCCACTCGGCAGCCATCTTGGCAACGCCTCCGGGCAGCTGTTTCGGACTAACAAGACCAGGCTCCTATCTGAATGAATTGGGAGAGAGCCAGAACTGCAGTTTTACTGGTCACTGGGAAATAAAAAACTACATGAATAGAAACAGCAGTAAAATCTCATAAAAAAATAAAATCGCTGAATAAAAAAAAAAAAGCGTTTTTCCCGACTGGTAATACTTCCACTACACATGCGTCACTACTACCACACAAGCACAGTCGAAGTAAAGTAGACCCTTTACGTCAGTGGAACTACACGATTGGCTGAAAAAAGATTCCCGCTTTGGCTGTTAAAATCAGACGATTGGCTTTCTACCGGGACGGATCTTTGCCATTACGGGCTTTCCCCATAGAGTTGTATTAGGGAAGTGATGGAGTGGCGTGTCTCCTCTATAAAACGTCTCTGGTGCTACTTACTGCCATGTATGGTCTGCAGCCTGCATCTCTGGTTTTGGCGATGGAGTCCACCAGCTGACCACTGATGCCAAAGTCACACAGCTTTATGTTGCCGTTCCTGTCCAGGAGGATGTTTGACGGCTTGATGTCTGAGGGGGAATGAAGAGAAACGTGCGATAATACAAAAAAAAAGACACACGAGGGTGCACAATAAGATTAAGAAGGCGTCTGGTATTGTCTTACCTCTGTGTATTATTTTCAAGTTTTCTTTTAAGTGGTTAAGTGCCTTCACAGTCTGTGAAACACAGAGAAGGTTTAGCAGCAGGAGTCAAAATTTAACTCTATTTTTCTATAAAAAAAGTGGAATATAATCGTCACCAAAACTTACAGCTAGTGTTATTTTTCCTAATATTTCCTCTGGAATCACGTCGTCTAATGAGCAATATACAAACTTGTAAAATTTGTCTAACGAGGTAGCCATAAGTTCCATACAAATCCAACAGTCACCCTGAAACACAAGAAATTCAGTCATGCGTTTTAGGAAGAAAAAAAAACACTGTGTGAAGAAAAATATAGTAAAGTGGAAATGTGAGTTCATATCACCTCTCTGAACAGAGCACCATAAAACTGCACGATGTAAGGACAATCACTACTTCTCACGACCACGTCCAAGTCCATCAGCAGCTGCTTCTGCTCCTTCTCATCAACTGTTGACCGAATTCTCTGTGAAACAAACACAGCACACAGAAAAATCAAAGACGTGTGGCTCTACAAGTTATTAATCTGCATATGGATATCTACGTGCCCAAGGTAAATCACCTTGACCGCCATGATCTGGTTACTCGGCTTGTGCACCATCTTGTTGACGGAGCCGTAAGCCCCGCGGCCGATCTCGCCCAAATCTTTGAGATCCTCGGCCGTGAAGTCCCAGTGCTGCTCCGCGGAGATCTTCAACTTTCCTGATGACTCGATGCTGTGCGTTCTCAGCCTCTCTCTGCCAGAAACCAGAAGCGTTTGCGTGTTAAGATACAGAGAAACAGGCAAAACATCGAAATGCTTTAACCCTGCACTTATTTTGCAGGACTTACATCATGAACGGAGGAAAGCCCGGGGGTTTACTCACATGTGCGGGTTCTGAAAGGGCGGCCCCGCCGTGTTCAGTGTGAATCTGGCCGTGGGTTTGATCGGAGGGTTGGCAAAGTTCAGCTTCAGGGCTTTGCGTTTACCTGAGCAGAAAAAGAAACAGCAATGGGATCAGATCCTACACGAAGCAACAAATGTGGAGGATTGAGCAAGACCAACAGCAAACTCATCCCACGTGAAAAGGTCAGAATGATGATAAGTGAGTGAAAACAACACAAACCATAAAATGAGGGAACAGAGGAGGCAAGTAAATTTACTCAAATCCATGGAGGGCATGCTTTCCATAGAACAAGGGCACGCGAACTGGCAACTTCTGCATCACCATATACGGATGTTTTACTAAACACGTTCCAGATTTGTGGTCATATTTCCAAAAATATACTCACCTATGAGCCTTGGATAAGTTTCTCAACAAATCCCATGAAAAAAACAAAACCAACAATTGGTTCTACTAACAATTACTGTGTGTGTATCACAGCCTGATATATATTCATTCTCTGTTGTCCAGAACCTATTAATAACATATCAATGAGACACACTGCTGCACTGGATGACATGTTCCTTCATCACCATGAATAAACACTGTAGGTTATTGTGACTTTGTTAGAGTTTTGTTTTTTAATAAGATTAATGTCAGTAGGAACTGTCGGGCTTGGAGTGAAACTGAGACTAACTATTCGTTTTGATATTTTCATGGGATCTCTTACCAATAAGACAAATGTAGAGTAAGACTTTCTGCATTTATTGTTCTTACACTTAGACTCATCAGTTAAAGAATGATGGGTACAGTTCAGCCTTTAAAAGAAGCTTCATTTGCAAAGCAATGGGTAATTGCAATATATTTTCTATAGTACTTTTTATATTCGCATATTGTAATACTGGTATATATAATGCTGAAGCACAGTTTCTGGAAAAGCAATTGAGAAACTGTTCGAATACCTCTATCTATCCTGCCTGCTTTGCAATATGATGCAATATGATGATATGATATTGTCATATCGCCTAACTCTGTCTTAGTCTGGTGTCACCTGTCCAGCAGCAGCCCAACGCATTTGGCTATTTATCAGTGTGTGTGCTGCTTTCAGGCTTTTGGTAGAACTACATTTTCTTTCCACTTTCTTACAGTCATATATTCATGTCTAAATCCTATATTTGATGCAGGTGCAGAAACGCAGCATGCTGCTGAAATCCCAAACACCTACATTCACAGTGCAAACACACCAACCCACACGTAAACATAAAAGTAGGGGGAGAAAGAAAACACTGATACATGACATGCTTCTCAAGGCCAACTGCTTTGATTTTCACCTTCAATGGCAGGAAAGCGCCCCACGCTCGCTCCACCCAAAATACCACAAAAATGTGTGTGCACTTGAATTCCAATAAGCTTGAAAGGAAAACATCGCTTGACATGACAACTTTCGAGTGTGCGCTCCTTGTCTCGACAGGCAAATGCTATGCTGAAGTGTTCCCATGCCAAAAAAGCAAACAAAACAACAAAATAAATGTGACAACACTACAGGCACTACTTTTGCTTGTTAGTCACACACTGAAACCCCTTGAGGTAGAGCTTCCATTACAGCATTTAACTGGGAGTTTAATTAATGAACACACAGTGTTTATTTAGTTGGGGCTCTCAGAGGCGTAAGAGTCAGTTCAGACAATCTTGTGCCAACATATCAATGGAAGCTCTGAATTTTAGGCTTGTGCCGATGAGAACAAATACACCATACCAGTAATTGTTTTTGACGACAATTTGCTGACTCAGTCGGACACTAAACTGCACTTACAGGGCAGCAGAGAAATTCTGAAGTGGATAATAAAACCTCTTTGTATAACAGATAAAACTCCTGTTATCTGAGCAAGTCATATTAAGCACTGAACTATTAGCTACCGGCACAAGCCTACTTGAACCCATCGGAAGTCTTGACTTGGATTAGTTGAGGACAGCAGGACAGACTCCCCCATACCAGACTGTCAGGCGGAAACAAAGGGATGAGAACTGTTGATGCTGAAGCAAAAGAGGTTTGGCTTACTTGGGGGAGCTCCAGACAGGTTTATCTGAAACCCTAGAGGTGAGAAGACAGCTTTTATTTTCTTCATATTTCACCTTCAGTTTGCCAGCTTGTTACGTCTTCTTCAAGAGACTGCTTTGTTAGTTAGACTTCAGAGACTTAATGTAACCTCCCCTCCCTAAAAAAAATAAAATAATAATAATTCACCTCTCCCTGCAATAAAAATGTGTCCATGTCACCCAACAAACCCGGATTAACAGGAATCCTGCAGGGTTACAATTGACAAATAAATCACAGAAATTGGCCTTGTTTTGCTAACATATCAAACATACTGGGGGATTATGTAGCAGGTTAAATGCATCATCTGCAGGGTAATGCATTAGCATGCACACGCATTTATGAAAAAACTACTTGAGTATGGTGAAGAATGTCATGTGTCAGTCAGTGTAACAAATGAAGGAAGTAAAACAACCTGAAGATCAAAAGGGATCTACAAGTGAGAGTGAATTACCACCATGAAATGGTTTTTGGAACGAAGACACATTACTGTTTAATAAACATTTTTCAGCTCACCATTCAGCATCATGTCAGGAATTAGGAATCATTAGTTAGCAGCATTAAGATAAAAAGTGAAATATGGTCAGGGAGATGTGATTAAAAGCACATGATTACACAGGAATAAATGTAAAATACCTGGTAAATTAAAGCCTGGATTATTATTACTGTTAGGATTAGAAGTAGAATCACCTTCTTTATAAAAAAAAAAGGGAAACCAGAGATATAAACTTAACATGCATCTCATGTGTAAATCCAAATGTTTTGATTAATTAAATCATCACGTAAAAGTTAAATGAAGAAATAAATCAACCTAAGTGCTAACAATAGAAATTATATTTAACACTGTCATTCAGGACTTTTAAAGCAAGAACCAAATCTAATGAAGCATTATACTTGATCTGTGGTTAACTCTTGCTTCTTGGAACCTCGTCACCTTGTACATAAAACGAAAACTCCAAATGGATTTTTAATTAAACTGTTCATCCTGCTCCAGTAAGTCAAGGAAGTGTGTAGCTACCTGTTTCACTCTGACATCTCCAGCAGGTGTTGGTCTCTGAAAGTTAAAATGAGACATTGTTTGTACAAAAATACAACACTTGACATGAACATTTGGTTTAGTTGTGTTGTGAGAGTGACAGATATTTCTGACAAAAACTGAGCAGCTTCAGGTTTCACTGAGCTTAGGCCACCCAGGCAGGTACATACATGTACTCACTAGTGCAAGATACATTTGTAAAGAAGGGATTCACCCACCAAACTTCACAACCAAAGGTATCATTAAGAGATGGTTTTGGATATTACCAGTTACATACATCCAAATGAATCATGACTTCACATAGTTTCCTCATTGTGAAGGTGTTTTGATAAAATCGGCGTATTTAACATTAATATTGCGCTTATTCAAATTAAGTGTTGTGGAAGAAGAATGAAGCTTAATTTAGGCACATCAGTCGTCGTGAATGTCAAGGGGCTGTCATTCAAACACACGATGACACACTGATTAAATCTATGCGGAATGGTGTATCTTTACGGTTTGTGAGATTTAAAATTGATTAATGTATTATTTGGCTTCTATGACACATGTAGCTATAGCCGGGACTAATAATTGCTCATTTTTGGAATGGAGTTTGGCGAGATTTACCGCAGGCATGAGAAAACAGAATGTAACCGGGCTACAAAATGTCAAAATGGTGCCAAGGGCATTAAATGCATTTTGTGAGATATGAGAAAATAAATAATTTGCCAATTGATGAACTCGGGAAATTAAGAATTCCTCCTGGGAAAGACACTAGTCCGGTTCCCTTGGGAATCATTTTTGAGTCCTGGGAGTAGCCTGAGCCTCCCACGGCTAGCCCTGCTAACATTAACCTTCACTGCAGCAGAATGTGAGCCCCCCAGCTCCAAGCAGATATTTGTACACACTCACCCTGCATGCTGCTCATTGTAGTAATGTGCTGAGACTGGGACTGGTGGTGGTGGTTAGCTGCAGATCCGGCGTTATTGCTGCTGTTGTGGCTGCTGGGTGTTGTTGAGTTGTTAGGACTGGGAGTCGCCATTGTTGTGTGTTTGAATTCCATCAGCAGCACCGGGCTGCAATGCAGATTAACGGTGAGCAACTTCACCCGTCCCTCCCTGCCACAACAATCACCGCCTCACTAACGGCAACTTCGAGCCGCAAAACTGCGGAATCGTTTATTTAAAAAAAAAAAAATCGTTGAATTGTTTAGAATTTCTTAAAAAGTTTTGGGCTGCGTTAAATGCGACTGGCGTGGTAACGTTAACAAAAACAAACACCCAGCTAGGCTAAGCTAAATAAGCTGGCTAGCAAGCTTTACGACCCGCAATCAGCTGACCAAGTGACACTGACATGTCAACACCCACAGCGTCCCGGAGCTAACAGCAAGCTAGCGACAGTTAGCCGAGGCGACACCGGATGTGACGTAGTACGGTTCATTAAAATATGTTTTTAATAATCGTTAAAAATAAAACAAAAACCTCTTTTATAACTGGCGGATTACTCACTAAAAGTCTATTAATTTGTATTATTATATATTTTATTTTATTTGTCCTGGTCTAATCTGTCTTTATATTTTCTGTTGTTGCCTTATTGTAGTGCCAGTGTTAATGTAAATTGCCCTGTTCATCTAAGCTCGTTTAATAAAGGCAATATGTTTTTATAATAATAATTTTAAAAATGTGTTTTATAATTACTTTAAGTCAAGTCATCAATTTTGAAATTTATGCTTATAGTTTTGAGACAATAAAGTATATGATTCTAATTTATGTGTTTATTTAGATTTAATCTAGTTATCTTTAGCACTTTGCCACAATTAACTATGGGAAAATATGACGAAACACAATGCTTGATTGACAGTTTGGGCTCATAAGAAAAATGCAAAGGTAATAGATTGGACTTACAAGGATGAGGAAAGGGCAATATATGAAATATGTATGGAAATATATATAATGAACAAACAAATGTGAAATGTATGTATGTATTTATTTTTTTTATTCACTTTGAGTGTTCTATAAATGGGAAGTTAACTTATTATTTATTATATTCTTATTAAATGTCTTTATTTATTGTAGGTTTCAGTTTTTATATACAGACCATGGTTTCAGTTGGTGGTATTCCTTTTCTGTCTCTTTGTTTGCATGTGTATGTTCATCCTTTCGACCTTGTGTTATAATAGTAATACATAAACAACGACTAATAAAATGAATCTATGCTTGAAACTTTATTATTCATATTTATTATATAGGATTATCCAATAACCATTTTATGACTAGCATTGACAATCTTATGATTCAATGATTATATTTTGTAAAGTGATACAGGAAGGTATCTCGCTTCAGTGAGCCCAGCTTGACGTCACTGCGGTCGTGGAAAATGTGCGCTCGTTTAGTTGCACGGAGCTGCCAGAGCGGGAACACGTTAAGAATTTTATCCAACGTAGTTCAGTAAAATAGACAGTACGGGGTATTTTTTCCCCACGCTAGTAGACAGCTTTGTCAGAGGACATATAAATAACAATATTGTAATCATAAAATCTGTATCTTTGGGTGCAGAGATGACAAAATTAGAGAAATCATTGAAGATCCGCCTATAATGATGGCCTGTGGTCCTAAAGGGGAGTGTGGCATTAAATAATTTTGGGAATTGTGGTCCAGATCTGTGGTCCAAACATGTCAATACAGCATGCAGAATTCGTAGTTGACATCAAACAAACCCTTTCAGCAGACTAGAAGGACGCCCAGGCGGGGAGGTGAAAGGTTGGAAGCAATGGGGGAAGTTTGTAGAGAGAACACCAAGTCATGGCTTTCTGTGATTTGGCAAGTCTGCAACGTTTCCATGTCTTTATTCTTCGCTCTTGCAACATATGTTCAGGTGAGCGCTTAGTTTCTCATATATAGCCTATGGCATAATTTCCTACAAAGTCCGGATCATTAACGAAAACATACTGTGCCCCGATTTCAGATTAATGACCCGGACGCGGGGTTATGGATGGTGAGATTTCAAGCATTTCGCACATATAGTATCTGTTTGTGATTTGTTATTTACACCACCTTTCTTTCTGTTCCAGGTGGGTTATAGTGTTCCTACAGTCCTGTGTGCGGTTATCGGCTGGAAACCCCATGTGACAGGTAGACACATACGTTTTTTACTGTCACTTCACTCAATGAACTGCACATTAAGAATAAAAGTGAATGAATCCAGGGACTGTCTGTCCCAGTTTAGCCTGTTTTCCACACTTCACAGGCTGTTGAACTCTGCATGAATGCACATTTACAGAGCTGATAGCGCCATCAAGTGGCTTTATCATGACTGCACAGGTCACTAAAGCTCAACCTTAACAGATTCAGAAACTGCAGAGCTGATTTGTACATTTTGACCCTTTTTTTTGCATGTTTTTCTTGGCTTCCTTGCAGAGACTTTGACCTGGAGGCGTGTTGCAGATCTCCATGTGATGATCTCCAGCGCCGTTGTTGCCATGTTGGCATGGAGTCTTAATAAAGAGCGAATCACAGAGATCTTACAACAGGAGGAGGGCAGGTAGACTCTGTCTTACTGTTGGACTGTTGCTTAAAGTAGCTGTGCAGTGTGCAGCACTGCAGTGATCTAACAAGCGTGCCAAACTTGTATGTGCATTTTTGCACGTCAAAATTTTTTATATGTACATTTTTAAAAACAGACACCTCATCTCTCATTATATATTACTTGGATTATTCAAAGTGGATTCTTTAAAAATTATTACAAGAAAGTGAACGCAACAGGAAAGTCTGAGTATATATGATTGGAAAGAACCAGTGGGACAAATTAAAAGCACAGAGATTTATTTTCTTATGTGCGATTACACTTACAATGTAATGCCAGACTCACAAACCGCTTTATTCACCAGGCTGTCAGGAAGCTGAACTCTCTCCCCCTCTCTTCCACCCCTCCCCACTTTTTTGCACCATTATGTCATATCTTACATTTTGCACCATCAAATGTATGTTTATCTTGCTACCAAAACTTGGTTTGCTGCAGTTTTTGTATATAGCAAATTTGCACTATTATATCATACAGGAAGTTTCTCGTCGTTGCTGTTTATTTTTGTATAAGTACCTTTTGTTTTGTTTTTAAACCAAAAATAACATCTAAGTCGTTTGTTTTTTTGTGCATTTTATTTAATTATTTCACTGTGTTCTTCATGTCTGGTACTTGTGGAGAAATTGACGACAAAGCTGACTGAATAGTTCAACACAATGAATTCAGGGTAACAGACCAACTACAGAAATGCTTAATGAATTTAATTACTGCTAATAAGGTATAACAAAATAGCTCATAAAATTGTAGGCATAACTGATTCAGGTAAACATAATAATGTGAATTTTAACCTATTTTTTCCCCTTTAGAGAATTCTCTGGTCTCACGTTGACGGTTGTTTGGCTGCTCCTGTGTCGCCACTCTGGAAGGTAAAATTAAGGTGTAACCAGGAGATGTATTTCTATTCTCACAAATAAAATTGGTGTAATGTACTGCAATAAGAAGCTTTGTATGTGTCTCTTCTCTGTTCAGGGCTCCAGTCGGGACGCTCAGAGTCTCAACAGCTGTTGCAATCACGGTCTTCCCCTTCGTGTCCTGGCTTTACTACTTTATCAACAAGGAGCTGACATCAAACTGGCCTTCACATTGTAAAACTGTTATTTAGACATCAGCTTCTTGTCCCCTTTTTGGCTTAAATATTCCTTTTTATTATGTTCTTTGACTGAAAAAAATCCACATGACAGCTATTAACAAACTAAAACTATTTCTTATCCAGTATTTACCTACACAAGCTGTTTTTTTTATTTTATTGAAGTCTGAAGTCTATTATAACCATAAATTCCAAGTACTTTAATATGCTTTCAAATAAAGTACAATGTATAAATACTATGAAATAACATAAATAAACTAATTAAATGTGAAAGTTACACGTTTATTTTTCTATGTAACAATATTTCCCTGCCCTCCAAGGGGCAGCAGAGAGCGCAAGGATGAAAGGACGATAGAAGAAGATGTATCATACGTCATTTCCTGTGTTAATGAGTAACTGCAAAGTAAACACTGATCTGAGAGCAGCCTTTTTTAGTTTGGACTGATATTTTTAACCTCACTTGGAAAATATAAAACTGACTCAGGGACAGCAGTTTTACGTTGTACCGTATCTATCATCACGTTTTCTACACCGCTTCCGTGTTTCAGCAGCGGTTCTGTAAAGGTCCAAACATGAGTGTTTTATATCACAGCCTGTGCTGCCGGTTGCTCCACAGTAACGTTAAAGTCTTACAAACATGTACTCAGACCCAAGCTGTCAGACTGGCACACCATGTTTTACGGAGAGAAACTGGACTGAAAGAAACACTGTCACCGCCCACAGTTCGCTGCTGCCTGGTAGGTCAAAGCTAGCTATCGATATCTGATGTACCACCAAACTCCATTTAGAAAATGGGCAATTTAGCGCACTCGTTAATAGCAAGTTCAAAACCACACTTTAACCTTTAATTATCACCTGTCAGTTCGCGTACAACACACCATCTACATGGGAATTATCTTGATACTTGATAGGACAATTACTTATTTATTTCTATTCTGTTTTATTTATTCAATGTGTATTTTCTTGTATGTTGTGTGTTGTATCTGGAAACCATAGGTGTCATTTGCACTGAAAAATGGCTTGATTTTGTCCCCATCACTTTTTTGAAAGCATTTGGTAAAAATGTTTGGAAAAAGCTTGCAGCAAGAAATTTAAATAGCAAATGAAAATGCTTTGAGAAATGTTTAGAAAGAACTTGTAGTGCAATGTAAATATAGAAGAAACAAATGTGTATTGTCCAAAAAAGAAATACAGAAGAAACAATCTAGTGATTAAAAAGATCTTGGCACGTTCCTTTTGGGTTTTTTAGTTTCTTGCGATCATGCCAAAGCGAAAGGACGACTAAATCATGCCTTCATGTGTGCCTTCAGGACAAAAATTTCTGAAAGCAATACAGAATGCCTGAGAGCCTTCCTATATTATATTTATATCACCTGCCACCTGAATGTTATTTTTTTCCCTTTACATAATTAAAGACATTTCCAATTGGTGCAGAAGAATTCACCAGAATGCAGGACATTAAGTGTTTAATGCTCAAAACTTTCTGGGGGATGACTCCCAGACCCCCTAATCCTATATATCTGCATTTAAGATGTCTTTAATATAGCTATGAAATATTGTCTCCATCTCATGAACCCAATATAGTGTATCATCACATTTCGTGAGCTAAGTGTCTTGTCACACACCTTATCTGAGCCCCAGTGTTCCCACCACTTTTCAACACAAAGTGACACCCTTGGCTGTAACAAATGGATTTCCCCAGTGTGGGATCAATAAAGTCTATCTTATCTTATTTAATCTCAAAACCTCACTTTTTCTTTCGTGCATCGCTTTTTTAAAATGCTGTTGAAATACTAGACAAAACATTTCTTACAGCTAACAATCTAATGAAATATTGTTGTCTGGATTGGAAAAAAAACTACAAATAATTTATAAAGCATCTCCAGATACACCACATGGCTAGATATTGGGATTTAAGGCTTCAACTCAACCAAATCTATTTTTCCTGTCTTTACTTATTAACAGGTGAATGTGAGTCCGTGGCACGCATGCAACCAGCTCAGTGGCTGTATCAACACTCCGTGAGAACACTTTCCTCAATACCTCCACCGCCCTCATCAGGGGATAAGAAGAAGAAGTCTGGGGTAAGTGACAAAGGTTATTGTTAGAGTTGCAACCCCTCAGTTTTGACTTTCCTCAACTCTTAATTAACTGTGAATTCAGTTTCCAGGTTCAAATAGAGTATTCACATGTCACATACACCCTGAAATATAAAGGCTGCAGTTAGTAGAGGTTTTATTTGTCATGATGTAGTAACTTTGTCATGTTGCAGATGCAGTAAGCAGCAACTGCCTTTATATGCCAGTGTACTATTCAAATGTCTGTGATCGTGCATAAGCTGTTTGCAAGGATTTCTCTGATGTGGGTTTAAAAAGGCTACAACAAATATTTTAGGCTAAGGTTTCTAAAAGTTGTTGCTTTGTATGCATCTTTATTATTATTGAGGCGGAAACTTGTTAACTTCAAACTCCAGGAAAGAGCATCTAGGGAAGTGGTTTCATGAAGGTTTGATCTCCAGCTCCCCTCTTGGTTGTGTCTTTGAGCAGTAAACTGAATCCCTTATGTAGTGTCTACATTCACAGAAAATGTTATTAGTTTTTCAAAACCCTCCACCACACTGATTAATGAAATAACAGTATGGAAATGAAAAAGATATTTGGCAGCTTTAAATTAGACCATTGTCAAGGCCTTTAAAACGACATACAAATATCATGAGGCATGAGACAAAATCACCAGAGTGCACTTAAATGAAGGTGTCTTTCTGACCACAGAGAGAATATTTACAGTTTATTCTAACAATTTAAATATGCAAATAATGATCTGAGTTCGTTAGAGAGGAGAGTCTCTTAATTAATTATCTGCAACATGTGCTTCAGGCAGTCTGGGAAGGAAAACGCTTACAGATTGATTTCCGGGGTTTAGCTGACCCAAGATGCAGTTGTCTTCGACTGTAAAGATTCCTCCATGATTTTAGTTTTGTTGTTGTCTCCTCTCTAAAGCCTGTTACATGGAAATCTTTAGCAATAACATTTGCTATTGGAGGCGCTCTGCTTGGAGGGATGAAATATTTCAAGAAAGAAAAGGAAGAACGTAAGTATTTTATCTCTCGATGTACAGTGCGCATAAAGGGCATAAAATTGATGTGTAAAACATGTTGGTGAATTTAGTAAACAAAGCTAATTTAGCACATTAATTTAATTTAATTATTAACTGTTAAATTTTGCAGTGATTGAAAAAGAGCGGACCAAATCTATTGGTCGACCAGCGCTGGGTGGTCCGTTCTCGCTCATCGATCACAACAACAAGCCCTGCAAGAGTGAGGACTTCCTCGGCCAGTGGGTCCTCATCTATTTCGGGTTCACTCACTGCCCGGACATCTGCCCGGATGAAATAGAGAAAATGATTGAAGTGGTGGATGAAATAGGTACTGTAATTGTTTTCATGAGGAATTATGAGACACAAGACACACTTTCCTGTCTTTTACCCTCATTCTCTCAAACATCTTGTTCTCATTTTGTTTTTCCACAGATAAAATAAAGTCTCTCCCAAACCTGACGCCTGTCCTCATCACCATTGATCCTGACAGGGACACACCAGAGGCCATGGCTGCATATGTGAAAGGTATATGTCGATGGAATAAATTGTGGTTTAACAATAGGGTTGAATTACAGGGAATTGGGAATTGTCTGTGTCTTGCGTGTTGAATATTCATATGTTCTAAAACAAAGACACCTTGTCCAAACCTCATTAATACTATTATGCAACTGTTGCAGCTAAATAGTAAAGTCCAACTTTAAAATACTGTTATAAATTACTATTACCGTAATGACATTTTTAGGTGCACCAGGTTTTTCCTAATTACTTTTATCAGAGCTGCAACAATTAATCGTTAGTTGTCAACTATTAAATTAATCGGCAACTATTTGGGAATTGATTAATCGGTTTGAGTGATTTTAAAGGGAATTCTCTGATTCTTAAATATTTTAATTTTATAAACCAAACAAGTAATCGACTTATCGAGAAAATTATCGACAGATTAATCGACGATGGAAATTGTCGTTCGTTGCAGCCTGATAAAATGAATTGTCCTCTTTCACACGTTAGCAAAGGACTGTGTGCAGTTAATCCAGCAGTCGCTTATATCTTAATAACTTCATGCAAAACTGGCAGTTTGAAGCCTCGCTGTCTGGCAAAATACTTAACTTTACACTTAAAGTGTAAAAGTCTGTAAAATGCAGGTGGTTCAACAAGTGGGTTATTTTAAGCCTCCATCCATCATTGATTCATTATCTGCATTGCTACGTTAAAATTATGGTGACAGATTTGACAGGAAAGAAATTATATATTCTGATAAAGTAGAACTGTGAATGACCGGATGAGTACAAAACACCAATATGTCTAATTATCCTAAAATATGTTTCAGCTGTGAAATGAATTTCGATCATTTAACCACAGATTAAACCACATTATTTACCTATATACTGGACTTTATCCCAGCTATTTATTATTAACAAATGAAGAGATAACTTGCATTATTCTAATAGATACATTATTCATTTTCAGAGTTTTCCCCGAAGCTGATTGGCCTGACGGGAACAACAGCTCAGGTTGAGCAGGTTTCCAGATCCTACAGAGTTTACTACAGCCAGGGACCTAAGGATGAAGACAACGACTACATTGTGAGTTAAAACCTGCTCTGTTGTTATTCATACTACATGTCATAACAACGCAAGGATAATATACTGTAGGAGGATAAAAAAAGTATTTTCTCCATGAAGAGAAATATCTCTGTCTGAACTCCACCTGTTTTTGTCTTTAGGTTGATCACACAATCATCATGTACCTTGTGGGACCCGACGGAGAATTTGTGGAGTATTTTGGACAGAACAAAAGAAGCGTGGAGATCACCAATTCAATAGCAGCACATATGAGAAAGTACAAGAAGGCAAAGTGAGCAGCAGCCCATTACTAGCCCCTCACGGACTGACAGATTCTGTCCTCAGGTGTTTGATTTTGTTTACTTAAATCACTCCTGCCATCTTTTATTGGCACTCTGTATTTATTTTAAACATGTCTGCAGTACCATTCTTTTCTATGAGTGAGGTGCAGATGAAAACCGGTCTGACGC